TCCAGTCATTCTTCAAATGGCGTTGTGTTCTGTGTCTTCACTGTCCAAGGCAGTAATCTTAAGCCACAAATAGATATTGAGTACTTGAAGTTATCATTTATGTCACTGAGGAATTGAAGTTTCAATTTTACTGAACTTCAATTAATTAAAATGTAAATTTCCACATTTGGTTAGTGGCTACCCTATTTGACAATGCATTTGGATCCCTTTAAAAAAGTTTGTTTGTTTATTTTAGCTTTTTTATTTCACCAAGACTTTTGGTAAATAAAAACTATTGTAAGCTTTTACATATGCATGTATAACTCTAGGTCTAGGTATATATATATATAAAGATATAAATCTAAATCTCTATATACTTTTGAAAGTTTAATTAGGGACGCACGCTGTGGTACAGCAGGTTTCAGCCCTGACTCATAGAACTAGCATCTCATATGTGCACTGGTTTGTGTCTAGGCTGTTCCACTTCCAATCCAGCTCCCTGCTAGTATGCCTTGGAAAGAAGCACAGGATGATCCAAGTCTTTGGGCCCCTGAACCCATGTGGGAGACTTGAAGAAGTTCCTGGCTCTTTGCTCCATATAGGCTCAGCTCCGGCTGTTGCGGCCATTTGGCGAGTGAACCAACGGATGGAACACCTCTCTCTTGCTCTCTACCTCTCTGTAACTTTGTCTTTCAAATAAATAAAATAAAAATCTTTTTTAAAAAACATTTAAATTGAGCAATTCATTTACATGCGTAATATGAATTCTTTTTCCTGTTCTACTTTATTCAACTTCCTTCTGCTCCACAGTCATACTAATAGTTATCCTGTTTGAAATGTTGACATGTACTATTTTCTCTATTACAAATGCTTAAATCTATCACTACATGACTGTTCTTCTCAGCATGCAGGAAAACTCTTATGTCCTTCCTCTGAGAAGACTTGTCTGAGTACCCTTGCTAAAGTCTCTGTCTTTCCCTCTCCCCTCTACCACACACACGTCACCCTGGACCATGACTCTTTAGTTTCTTTTCCACTGTTTTTATTTTTGTTTTAACAGTTGGAAGTACCTAAAAATACCTTATTTGGCTTTTTATGTGTTTATATTTTTATTACCAAATAAGCATTAAAAATAAATGTTTATTTATTTTCCAAATGCATAAGTGAATTAATAATTGAAGTACATGTTACTCAATTTTGTGAACTATATTAGTAAATATCTTGATAGTTTATTACAGATAACAAATAGCCAAGAAATTTGGCAGAAAGGTGATGAATTTTTTTAATATTTATTTACTTAAAAGGCAGAGCTACAGAGAGAGAGAGACAGAAAGAGAGATTCCATCTGCTGGTTCACTCTCAAAATGGCCACAAAGTTCAGAGCTGGGCTTATCTGAAACCAGGAGAAAGGAGCTTCCTCTGGGTCTCCCATATGGGTACAGGGGCCCAAGTACTTGGGCCATCTTCTGCTGCTCTTCCAGGCCATCATCAGGGGGCTGGATCAGAAGTGGAGTATCCAGGACTCCAAATGGTAGTCATATGGGATGGCAGCACAGTAGACAGTGGTTTTACCAACTATGCCACAGCACCGGCCCTGGTAATGAATGTTTAAGTAGAACCACATATTCAACTACTCTGCACCCTATATAGAATAGGAGGTATAATAACTAATCAAAACAAGAACCTTTGTTGGTTTTTAAAGTATTTAAAATGTCAAAAATGTATCTTGTGATTTCTACCTTAAACGTCAATTGATATTTTTTTTTTTATTATTTTTTGCCAGGCAGAGTTAGACAGTGAGAGAGAGAGACAGAGAGTTATAGACAGTGAGAGAGAGACAGAGAGAAAGGTCTTCCTTCTGTTGGTTCACTCCCTTAATGGCCGCTATGGCTGGCACTGTGCTGATCCGAAGCCAGGAGCCGGGAACTTCCTCCCAGTCTCCCATGCGGGTGCAGGGACCCAAGCACTTGGGCCATCCTCCTCTACCCTCGCAGGCCACAGCAGAGAGCTGGACTGGAAGAGGAGCAACCGGGACTAGTACCTGGCACCCCAACCGGGACTATAATCCGGGGTGCCGCACCGCAGGCGGAGGATTAGCCAAGTGAGCCATGGCACTGGCTGATATTATCGTTAATATTAGAACACATTGAATTGACTGAGGTATATTCCTTCAACACATAATTTCCAGATATTTACAAACACCTATGGATGTACCTTGTATTTTCCTGGATCTGTATTATCTATTCTAAAAGCAAAATTTCAAAGGAAATATGCAAGTGTTAGGCTAGTGGCAGCTTCAGAAATACCTGCATCACATCAGAAACCTATGAAGTGGCTCTAGTACATTGTCCATGTAATAGCTTCCATTTTAAAAAATATACTTCTTACACTCTGTCTTGCTGCTAACCATTACATTGGTTTCTTGCCAATGCTGTGTCCAATAAATAAAAGTACTCAAGAGAATATATTTTTGAAATTTCAACGCATATTCCCTTATGGAAAATAAATATTAAACATAAAATATTTTCAGTCAGAATATTGGATTTGGTATATCTATATTGCTTGGTTGGATAATGGGAAAAAAAGAGCTCAAAAGTTGTTTAAGTATCATACATACACTCACAATTCTTCTATGTTTCCTGCTGTAAACTTTCAGTAGACTCCTGAGGCAGAAATACTATGGATATAATAGTGATTTAAACTTATTATGATATATTGACCTCTGTATGACCACATTCATCTGAATGGTTGTTAAAGCTGAGAACCACTACTGGAACCTAACTGTCAAAGTGTTTGCCTATTTACAGCAAGGCAATTCCACTATATCATATAAATAAAATCATACAGTTTGAATGGAAGGTGAAATTCATATAAAATTTGAACTGTCACACTTATTCACTACCCTTCCTTACCTTAAGTATAATTCCTTCTGGCAAGCCATGTGCAGCACAGAGTAAGGACACTTATTTAAAGCAGTCCTTATATATTTACCTTCTTCACATTTCTATTTACAGTGAATTGAAGATTTAAGAGGAATAAAAAAGTGAAGCAAAGGTTATTTTACAAACTCTCTTACTAAAATGAAATACAGCTTTTTTTTTTTTATGTTCTTATGGTATAAAAGAAACTCCAAGGGTAGTTGTTTGAACTATTTGCACAGATGCGGGTTAAGACATTTGTGTCCCATATTAATGTGCCTGGGTTTGATTGTTGGCCCTGGCTTCTGATTCCTGCTTTCTGACAATGCAGACCCTAGAGGCAGCAGTTGATGGCTCAAATAGTTCAGTTTGGTCCCAACCAACCCACAGGGGATATTTGCATAAAATTCCTGGCTCCTGACTACCCCAGACCCAGCCCTAGATTTTGTGGCCATTTGGAGAGGGAACTCATGAATGAAGCTGTCTGTCTCTATCTGTTTCTGTCTGTGTCTCTCTGCCCCTCAAATCAATAAAAAACAAAGATAATGATCCTTTAAAAATACTGCTTCATAAAATATGTTAAAAAAGAGAAAATGATGAAACAGTATGTGATATGATGGAAATTTGCTGGAATAAAGTTAAAAAACTTGATACCTGTGGTTATAGTTCTGTACCAAATTACTGACACTTTAAGATAGAAACACTCTCAAGCCTCTGATATGTTTATGAATAAGTTACTAACACAAACAGTATCACACATGTTTTTAAATCAACAGATTGTAATTCTCATAAAATAATAATATTCGTTAGTAATATTATATAGACAGAAACTTTAAAGAAGGAAGATTTTTAAAATGTTGTAATAATTATTTTGATTATTCAAATAAATAAGCCACTACAAAGCTTGACGTATCCTAAGAGAGAAAACCATAATCTTGTTCTGCCAAAAGACATAAGGGAATACAAAATGACACAGAATAAAACAAATAATAACAACTCACATTGATTAAGTACTACGTGTACTTTAATCATTGTGCTAAGGATGACAAATAGTTGATAGATAGACAAATTATTTCTGTAACTGTTACAAATTCTGCTATGCCAATAATCAGTTATCAAACCGTGTTTGAAAATCTGAAATATTATATTTAAGAGTACTCAAAAAAATTTGACATTATAATTACATGAAATCTTTGCTTTAGATCACTATGTAACATTAGGTCTTATCTGTGTAGTTCATGCAAATAATTCATGCAAATAATTATCACTATGACTTTCTTTTTTTCCTAAAATTCCAATTGGGATATGAATTCTTCATTAACACTTTGAAGTAAAATTAATTATTTGATTCTGGCACTTTACCTGTGAAAGTGAATTCAGTTTTTTAAGTGATGATTACTTTCAATTATCCCTAAAATTTTATGATGAAGTCTGTTATGAGCCAAAGAAAAGTCAAACATAACAGGCTAAAAGTCTATTTTGATTTATAATATTCAATATAAATGGTCAGATTAATATCTCTGAGCCAGAACTTTTCCTAGGACCTAGTTTCTCACAGCTCCATCATTCCAATGCCATGGTTCTAAATGATGTTAGCCAAGATTTTGTTCACATGGTTCCAAATGATTTTAGCCAAGATTTTGTTCACAGGTAACAATATTAGCATGAAGGGAGCTGAAATAAGTTACTTTGGCTTACATAGTTATTATATGTTGTATCTTATATGTATCATATAAATTTTATGCTCTCATGTTACCTGAAAATTCACCTAGCTTATCATGGACTAAAATTAACATTTCTTATTATGGGAAGTATTTTACAAACTGAATGATATATGTGTTTCTCATTTTTCTATTAATTTAATACCTACTAATTTCCTTGAAATGACAAAAACTATCACTATATAGTAGCAAAAGTATGAATTTCTATACCACTTCACACTAACTATTGATAAATAAGTAGATAAGTGTTAAAACCATTTGTTAGGAATTTTGTGATAACACCATAGATGTCTAAGGAAATAATGCATTCTCTTGTTTGAGATTATATGTCATTGTCATTTACTTACTCTGACCTTCCTTTCATAATGGTTTTTCAGCTTACCCATCAACAGTATCCTTCTTCCACTATAAAATACTCAAACGTATCATCTTCAATACTGTACACTCCATCTACTCAATGTTCTTCACACCATGTGGTGTTGGTTATCTTGATACCAGATATGTTTTCTTTGCATTTTTTAGATCATACCGTAAATATATTATAGAAAATTCTTACTTTATTATTATAGCAGTAAGAGAAATGTTTGACATTATTTTTAAAATATCAAAATAAATGTTTTTCTTTTATTATTATTATTATTATTTATTTTTTTGACAGGCAGAGTTAGACAGTAAGAGAGAGAGACAGAGAGAAAGGTCTTCCTTTTTCCGTTGGTTCATCCCCCAAGTGGCCGCTAAGGCCGGCACATTGCGGCCTGCACACTGCACTGATCCGAAGCCAGGAGCCAGGTGCTTCTTCCTGGTCTCCCATGAGGGTGCAGGGCCCAGGCACTTGGGCCATCCTCCATTGCTTTCCTGGGCCACAGCAGAGAGCTGGACTGGAAGAGGAGCAACTGGGACAGAATCTGGTGCCCTGACCGGGACTAGAACCTGAGGTACCTGCGCCACAGGTGGAAGTTTAGCCTATTGAGCCATGGTGCCAGCCAAAATAAATGTTTTCCTTGCATGGTTTCAGTATTTGAACACCCAGTTAAAAGAATTGTCTGAAATTTCATCTTGTTAACAAGTCTAAAATTAAGATATCAACTCTGTGGAAGTCTCTCCAGAATCTCATAGTAAACTTCCTTCTTTATTTCTTCATCTTTTTGAAAAACAATAAGCCCAAATGTGATACACATGAAACAACATGTTTGTGTCAGTTGTAGGGAAAACAAGTATGCTAATAATCCATGATAAATTTTCCTTTCTTTTTTAATTGAAAGCTATGTGAAGTTGAGACTAATATGCCAATGTAATGGTTAAAAACCAAGCTTCAGAAAAGAAACTCTGAATTAAAATTCTACTTCTGCTTCCTTATTTGTATTTAAAGTATTTTCCCTTGATGCATTTGTTTCTTTAACCTACAAAAGTGGGTACTCTTAGTATCAAAGATTTTCAAGAAGAGTAAATAAGTTTGTATATATTTTTGTGCACATATATGTGTTCTCATACATTCCTGAAACGGGTGACACACTATTTTACAGTGTTATTGATAGTGTTAAATGTTAAACTTAATGATATTTTAAAATATCATTATAATCATTATTTGACTTTTTAAGCTTACTTTGTCACAATGTCTCCTCATATTCTGAGTATTCTCATATTCTGTTTAAGATCTTCATTATTCCACTCCACTATACTGCAGTGTAGTATCTCCCAGTGCATTTTCCTTCTGTATCAATTTGAAGCCTATGAATTTAGATTCTTGAAAGAAGTTGGTAATGCAAATTTCTTCTGGGAGAATAATTCCTATGAAAGATAAAGGCAGGTCAGGGAAGCAGGACTGAATAGATTAGTTCTTAATTCTTCACTACAGGCTGCCCCCTGGGAAAGGGATGATGAAAAAAATAGAAATGAAGCCGAGCGTTCTGACAGCTGTGCAGATCTGACAATGATCTTGACCAATGTAATGGGGAAATTTGGAACAAAGATTGTACCAGGAGGAATCTAACATATGCAGAAATGGCTAGTTCTTAGTGAACCATGCCCTCAGCCATGACCCAAAGGTTGCCCAGAAAGAACAGCATTGTGGATTGAATGCTATGGCATCTTCACAAAACAATGCAGCTGGAAACTGGCATCAAATTCGACTCCCCAACAATGCATTCACTGAAAAAAAAAAAAAAAACAACTGAACAGCATTTACCTATGCATACCAAATCTTTCTAATGTCCTGTGAGCCTTAATGCTTCCCTCACACAACTACTGGTAAACTAAAAGGTAGATTATAACATTCCAAAATCAATTAAAACAACTGGAAGCTAAAATCAAAATTCTAAGCGTATTAGAAAAGATCTCTGTATACGTCTTTGTCCCTATTCACTAATTTGCTTTAACTGTTAGTTTGATATTAAAAGAAAAGCTCTAAAATCAATGTGGCTTCTGATACATAACACTGTTTCAAGCCTAGTTGCATTTGGATTTCCTCTTACTGTGCCCATTTCCGTGAGTTCTTCATTGATTAATATTCATCTCATAAGTAATTTCCTCCAATAATCTTATCTATACGACACCAGATTGTATTAGCCACCCTCCTCTGACTTCCTATAGTGCCACATAGATATTAGTAGACAGAGGTAAAGTGACTCTATTAGATGTTATTTCATGTTATGTGAAAATATCATGATTTTTCTGAAACAAAGGTCATTATTGTTGAGCAGGAGATGCTAAGACGTGATGTCAGAGTAAGAAATGAAACAGAAAAGCATAAGAAGAACAATTATACGACAATAGCAGACCTTTCAAAAGTACAATAGTGGGATGATAATCCATTCTTTGGATGTGTGCAGTTCTGTTAAGATAAGTAATTTACAGAGTTTTTTAAAGACTTTTATCTGCATATCAACAAGAATTTGGGAGATGATTAAAATTGTATGTCATTATCACTGATTTTATCATTGTGGCATTGTAAGAAAAATAACATTGGGAAATTCATGGTGTTGCTGTTATTGTTTTCTTTCAGTACAGTTCCTCTCCCAAATAATAATGTGTGCAGATTGAAAACTCAATTTTGTCACAGTGTATTTGGTGGGACAAAAAGGATTAGTAGAGAATATGAGAATTTTTGAGTAATGAACCATGCTAGCCTAACTCAGAATAAAGAGAATTCTTCAATGATAAATTCCAAGAGGATAGGCATGATTTTTTTTAACATAACACACCATCTCTAGGAATTAATATTGTGCTTGTGCACAGTAGTATTGAATGAACTGATACATGAATGAAATGGCAAAGGAATCATATTCTTAGATTTGTGTTGAGCTTCAGAAATTCTGTAGTGACATTGGTTTCAAATGTGCTAGACACAACTTAAAATAGTGATGCAGAAACTCAAAATAGGAAAATGATGTATAACATAGCAACCAATAAATTCACTTTGTGAATCCAAGTAAATACTCTTTGTGACTTCAAGGAGGGAATTATGAGCTACATCTATCCAAAAAGTGAAATAACTTTGAAAAAAATTGAAAAAGGAAATGTATTATTTTATATCTAGAGAGTCAGTTTTATCATTTTTATTGTCATTTATATATAGGCATGGAGATTAAACTATAATGGCCCATGGGAAAATGGATTTCAGTTGAATAATTCAGTATGAACCCATTTATGCAGAAGTAAGGGAATTTTTTTAAAGCAAGAGATGAAAAAAAGCCACACGAATTCATCTAAGATGTATGAATTTGTGGCAGACACTTCTTAATTTTCCACTGAAAAATTGGCTTTATGATTTAAAATAATTTAATTCCAAGAAGAAATCCCACATTTTATCTTATTCAGGGAGAGGGCTGACCCATAAATGAACTGTTTACTCAGAGGGGAAAAGATGTCATGGGGTTTTCTCTCCTACTAGCAGATAGAACATGCAGGCTTATTTCACTCCTCCACTTTACCAGTTTATCACAGAGTGGAATCAGCCTCTTGGAGGACCTGCTTCAGCAGACTTTGTTAGCAACTTCTTTTTGTTTGTTTGTTTGTTTAAGATTCATTTATTTGAAAGGCAGAGTTACAGAGAGGCAGAGGCAGAGAGAGAGAGAGAGAGAGAGAGAGAGAGAGAAGAGTCTTCCGGCCGGCGCCGCGGCTCACTAGGCTAATCCTCCGCCTAGCGGCGCCGGCACACCGGGTTCTAGTCCCGGTTGGGGCGCCGGATTCTGTCCCGGTTGCCCCTCTTCCAGGCCAGCTCTCTGCTGTGGCCAGGGAGTGCAGTGGAGGATGGCCCAAGTGTTTGGGCCCTGCACCCCGTGGGAGACCAGGAAAAGCACCTGGCTCCTGGCTCCTGCCATCGGATCAGTGCAGTGCGCCGGCCGCAGCACGCTGGCTGCGGCGGCCATTGGAGGGTGAACCAACGGCAAAGGAAGACCTTTCTCTCTGTCTCTCTCTCTCTCACTGTCCACTCTGCCTGTCAAAAAAAAAAAAAAAAAGAAGAGTCTTCCATCTGCTGGTTCACTCCCTGAATGGCCACAACAGCCAGAGGTGAGTGAATGAATCCGAAGCCAGGATCCTGGAGCTTCTTCAGGGTCTCCCATGCGAGTGCAGGGGCCCAAGGACATGGGTCATCTTCCACTGGTTTCCCAAGCCATAGCAGAGAGCTGGACTGGAAGTGGAGCAGTGGAGACTCCAACTGGGGCCCACATGGGATGTCACCACTGCAGGTTGTGGCTTTACTTGGCAGTGCCACAGCACCAGCCCCCATATTAGCAACTTCTTAACGATCATCTATCTTAGTGCTTGATCAGCCAGAAAGTAGTTTATCAAATTTCACCTCACTTCCATGACTCTATTACTGTAGTGGCATTCTAGATTTTTATGATATCATACATTGTATCAAGTATGATGATTTTATTTAAATTTGATCTAGAAGTAAGTTAATAGTTTAAGATAATGTAATAGATGATATATGGAGAATGGGAGCCAATTGATGCTATAAAAGTATCCTGAGAAGATCATTTTAAAATTGGCATTTGAGTTTATAAAAAGGTAATTAAATAACAAATTTATTCAGCTATAATGAATATTTGATTGGCTTTCAGAGATAATTGCCCTCTATCAGGGTCATAGCATTAACATGAAAATTAGTCATTATCTTCTCAGTGAGAATCAGAAAGAAATCTCCATTAAACATTTTGAAGGGAGTTTTCAATGAAGTAACTATGCATACTGTTGACATTACATAATGACTGCAAAATGTCTCCTCAAATACACTTTATATTTTCATCCTAAAATCACATTTTATTTTCATAGAAAATGGCTTAAATTACATAAAAAACATATATGTGTATTTATTCCTATAATTAGACTAACAGATGAAATTACAAAAAAATCAATAACTGTTATATTGATATGTTCATTGTGTATTATTAGTTGTTCCTGTTTAGCAGTTCTTATCTTTTTGATGTCTATTGATGAAATATTTGGGAGAAGTAATTTAAAAACTAAATCTTATACATTAAAAGGTAATTTCTTAAAAATATAAATAATATAGCTAAATAGACGTAGATGACCATAAGAAATTAAGTATTGATCTTGAACCTGATCTAGGGTTATGAAAACTGAGTGAAATATTGATCTCGCCAGTAAAACTAATATGCTAGAATTATATGTCAAACTGTAGCAGAAAATCATCAACTGAGGCATGGAAGATGGAGGGAAATTCCATATGATGACACATTTTCTGTAATACTTCTTAGGTAAATTAACTGTATAACTTAGAAATAGAGTAACAGAACACCTTAAAGCAATTACAACATGAAGGTAAAATGACACTTCTACATGAAGTTTTATAGAGAAATACTTCAACAACAACACATATCTGAAATACAGCCTTTGAAATCTAGCAGCTAATGATAATTACAAACTTACAACACAGATAAGAAAGATTCAGATAGGAAATTAACACTTAGAATAAGTTAGAACTATTAAAATAATGACAGATATGAGAAGTAGCACTTAATGAAATTGAATGCAGGAGTGCAAATCATGATTATAATAATATACTTCATTCCCATGTCAAGGTAGTGCTATAGCATTTAGGTATAGAAGAGTAAGTGATACTATTTTTTTAAATGTACTACCATAAAACTCTCTATATCGTCTTAGTAGTGTATCTGAAATATTATTCATCTTTTATGACATAGCTTAAATAGCTCTAACTGGTTGCACCAAGCAAGATCAGCCTTAGTTACTTCTGATCTCAATTTGTCTTCTGTCTACAGCTTGATAAAGCAATATTTTACAAGTCTGCTAGTATCATATTTCAAAAACTCTGCTTATTTTACACTAAATAATAACACTAACTTCTGGTTATATTAAAATCAAGTGATAATGTAGTACTAGATCACTGAATTGAAAGTATATTACTCTTATTGATATGTAAAGTGATAGTATCATAGTCTTTGGAGATTTAGATTTTCTGAAATTCGATAATAAATGTACACATCTGTATTCATCACCAGACAATAGCCCCCAGGTGTCAGATCTACATCTTTTTCTTTTTAAGATTTATTTATGTATTTGAAAGAGTTACAGGGGGAGGAGGGAGAAACAGAGAGAGAGAGATGGCTTCCATCTGCTGGTTCACTAACCAGATGACTACAAAGGGGGCTGCACCAGGCTGAAGACAGGAGCCAGGGGTTTCATCCAAGTCTCCCACATATTATGGGTGGCAGGGTCCCAACACTTGAGATATCTTCTGCTCATTTCCACAGGACATTAGCAAGGAGCTGGATCATAAGTGGAGAATTGAAACATGAACCAATGCCCGTATGGGCTGTTGGCAACACAAGCATTGATTAGAGCTCAAGAATTTTTCCATATCATAGATGAACAACATATGGTTGGGTGGTGGTTCCTTATCATTATCAGTTTAAAATTAATAAGATCAAATCTTAATAACTAGCTATCAGCCAAAAGGACACAGAGCCTCTATAACAGTAAGATAAAGACAATAATACGTGTCCCTGATCCAGGTTATTAAAACATATTTGAGTAAGCATCATTATTCAAAACATTAATAAGCAAAAAAGAACAGGTTCATGTATCAGGGGAAATAATATATGTTCTCTCAATATATGCTATTTATATTATGTATTACTTATATATATTTATATAGCCAATATAAATCAACAGATGACAAAATATAGAAATATTTTTAAAATTTGCAGAGATGTTTCTTCAACTCAATGAAGCCCAGTCACTTGTTAATCAGTCAATTTAACAATTTAATATTTTGGTGGCTTCATCCACTGCACCATAATGCCAGCCCCTCTTTTCCTCTTTGAATTCCCTTTTTCAAATGTTTTCACTGTCTGTCAGCAGCCAAACACTCCACCTCTTTGCCTCCTCCCTCCTTTCTGAGAGGTCCTTCTTTTACCTCACAGTGAAAATACACAGTAACTCGTATCTTTTAGCTTTCCAGCATAAAAATGCACCTGTTTTCCTCCTAACACCTGTACTTTGGTTATTATTTTCTTAAAACTTTATTTTAAAAAATCTTTATTCTGTCTTACATATTAAATATTTCATCCTTTAATGGATCTTTCTCATCAGCTTTTAAAAATAGTGAGTCTAGGGCTGGCGCCGTGGCTTACTTGGTTAATCCTCCACCTGAGTCGCCCACATGCCATATGGGCGCTAGGTTCTAGTCCCAGTTGTTCCTCTTCCAGTCCAGCTCTCTGCTGTGGCCTGGGAAAGCAGTGGAGTATGGCCCAGGTGTTTGGGCCCCTGCAACCACGTGG